GTATGTATGTATGTATGTATGTATGTATGTATGTATGTATGTATGTACGTACGTATCTATGTATGTATGTATGTACGTACGTATCTACGTATGTATGTATGTATGTATGTATGTATGTATGTATGTATGTATGTATGTATGTATGTATGTATGTATGTTTGTATGTATGTATGTATGTATGTATGTATGTATGTATGTACGTATCTATGTATCTACGTATGTATGTATGTACGTACGTATGTATGTACGTATCTATGTATCTACGTATGTTGTATGTATGTATGTATGTATGTATGTATGTATGTATGTATGTGTCTGTCTGTCTGTCTGTCTGTCTGTCTGTCTGTCTGTCTGTCTGTCTGTCTGTCTGTCTATGCATCCAGCTAATAACTCATTTCATAATTTTATAATCCACATTCTTATCCTGAAAAATACACATTGGTATTATTATTTTAGAACATCTTCTGTTAGCATTAATTAAGACATGCCGAGTCATGTTTGCTGAGTCAGATGAGCAGGGGAGTAACTGACTAAACTCTTGTGGTGTGCAAAGGACATATGCAACCCCTGTGATTAGGTGCACATAAAAACTGTAATTTAGGGCGATATTGACTGGACCCATGAGCTTCCATGTTCGGATCAGACCAGGTTCCTTTGGCATTTGGTCTAAGCCAATACTCAAATTCAGAACAATCCACTTGAAAAACTGGTCTTAGAATCCAGAAAGAAACAGAAAACACAGCATTAAACGTGTTTCTATAAAGTCCACATAGGGGATGTTTACTTGACTTCTTGCTGTTTGAAGCAGAAACAGGAAGCAACTTCTAACACATTCTCCCACTGACTCACAAAGCTCCAGTGTATCCTGGCGAGCACTTGCATTCTCCAGTGACATGGTGACAGGCAGCTCCATTCTGGCACTGGCATTTCTGCTGGCACCCGTTCCCATAGGTTCCCGTTTCACACTGGGCCTCGCAGCGCCACCCTCTGTACCCAGGCATGCAGATGCAGGCTCCGGTGATCGGGTTACAGAGCGCTCCGTTCTGACACTGACACTTGTTGCTGCAGTGGGGACCCCAGTGGCTACTGTCACAAGCTGAGAAGATGAAACAAACAATAAAAATGAAGATTTAGTAACCACCACATATTTTAACATGAGATTTTGATTTTCCTGGAATGAGATGATAGCATTTTCAGGTAATTTACAAAGTAGTAAATGTCAGTATTTAAATTTGAATCTAAATATCAAAGTAAAATGGTGTGCACCTATTAGTTCTGATTTTAAACTGCACAGATGAGCTCTCAGATCTTCAGCATGAATTCAGTGTATGGAAGTAAATATATGTCGCTACGATTTGAATTAAAAATGCCACTGAAATTTTAATGCTGTATGTTTGTGTTTAATTTTTCAGTGTTAAAATATATTCAGAATACATTTTTAACCCAAAAAAATTCATTGTCATTATTTCTATATGTTTGAAATTTAATTTATTTTCACTTGAAGCTAAAAATTCACATTACTATTTCAAAGTGATCACATTTTCAATAGCTGTTCTTCAGTTTAACTTTTCTGTGTTAAAAAAAATGGCATAAAAAATTCAACCTTTCAAAATTCAAGCTCAGTATTTTCGGTCTCCTTAGATTCAACTGGCTCAGTTTCACTGTCTGAAATTCAGCATCTAAAAATTCAGTGTAAAAAGGCAGGGTTACTTCAGGTCACAGACATTAGCAAAGGATGTCAGAATCCAAAACTCACATCCGCTTTCTTAGTCACGTGACGTTACGCGTGTCCCGCTCATTTTGAATTAAAACAGCATGTCCGAGGCGCTCATGAAGCTAACGCTAACTCAATGATGAGTTTAATGCTGTCATTTTTCTGTATGCTTTTTTTTTTTTTTTTTGCGCATGAAGTTCGATACTTCATAAACTATACTACAGAAAAATGACAGCATTAAACTCATGGTTGAGTTAGCGTTAGCTTCATGAGCGCCTCGGACGTGCTGTTTTAATTCAAAATGAGTGCGACAAGCATAACGTCACGTGACTAAGAAAGCGGATGTGGGTGTTTGGATTCTGACATCCTTTGCTAATGTCTGTGACCTGAAGTAACCCTGCCTTTTTTACACTGAATTTTTAGACGCTGAATTTCAGACAGTGAAACTGAGCCAGTTGAATCTCAGGAGACTGAAAATACTGAGCTTGAATTTTGAAAGGTTGAATTTTTAATGCCAAACTTTTCAACACAGAAAAGTTAAACTAAAAAGCAGCTATAGAAAATGTGATCACTTTGAAATAATAATGTGATTTTTTTAGCTTTAAGCGAAAATAACAAATGAAATTTCAAACATATAGAAATAATGACAATTAATTTATTTTTGTTTAAAAATATATTCTGCATATAGTTTAACACTGAAAAATGAAACGCAAACATCCAACATTACAATTTCAGTGGCATTTTTAATTCAAATCGTAGCGACACATATTTACTTCCATATCAGTGCAGGGTTTAACCAAAGCTTTTATAAATTCTGATCAACTTATTCTCTAAAACAGTTCCTTGAAGTGTTAAACTTGCATCACAGCGCTCTGTTGCACCAAATCTAACAGGATAAACATGCGTCAGTGGAACTGACCGCACGTTCTGTTATCATCTCACGTCACTGCTGTTTTGATTTTTATAAAACTTTCAGAAAGTAATCAATGGATGCATCTACAATTGATTAACTTCTGGAGTCCAATTCAAGGTGGCTGCCACAGCTAATCATCATTAGCTAACACAAACAGGATTATAACCCAGTCAGTTTAGCAGATTTTGAGGTCAGATTAGGTGTGGCAGTAGCTGAGGGTTATTCCCAATATGTACTTTGAGTGCTACCACATCTCACAAGCCACTGCAATAATGCACAAGATTATGCAAAATGTCATTTACAACCAGAATGGTTACAACTCTTCTACACAAAAATGTTCTAGTCTAAAACTCTGGCTTGACAGGCAGCAGGTCATATGAATTCCTTCAAGGAATGCTAGGCCTTTAATTTATAGGTGGAATGAGTGGAGGGGGGTAAATGAAAAATACCGTACATGTTTGTATTTGTTAAAGTTTCCCTTATTAAAAAGAAAGGACGCAGAGAGAGAAGAGGCACGTGTAAAATAATAACGCTGATTCATTTGAGAGTAGAATAAAAACACCTGTGACGTGTTTAAAATGAAACACTGTCAGGTTGTCATACATGTAATATGTTCCCTTTGAGTCACCTGTTTATTCATCTCTTGAGGTAAAGCATGAGCATGAGAGTCCTCTGACTCTACAGTAACCCGGCAGAATACGGCCTGGACCCAACTCGTAGGCTGCTGATGTCGGCCACACCTACAGCTTCACACACGGGAGAACTTATCAGGACCCCTGAGGCAAATAAATCACTGCGGAAAACTGGAGGGAGTGAGGAAAGCTCTGTCATTGCCAAACCTCTCATTACAGGACTCTACTTCATGGAGGTCTATTTTAGGTCCAGGGAAAAGTGACATATTTAAGTTGTGACAAGCTTTAACCTGCGTTGTGCACATTTCTGTAGTCACTTAGTTCAGGCGAACGCTCTGTTTTCTTCCAGAAATGATCCAAACTATTATATCACAATATTCAATCAACCTTAGTTACAGTTCTCCTGTAACATTGGATCCACACACAGGGTCTAAATTAGGATCAAATCAGATCAGGTCTCCAGTCCATCACAGGGACACACAGAGACAAACAACCATTCAGTCTCTCACTCACACCTAGGGACAATTTAGAGTTATCAATCAGCCTAACATACATGTTTTTGGTCTGTGGGAGGAAACCGGAGCACCCGGAGAAAACCCACGCATGCACGGAGAGAACATGCAAACTCCACCCAGACAGGCCGGGATTCAATCCTGCAACCTTTTCATTGAGAGACCACTGAAAATCTTGAATGACTAATTTTAGTATAAACTTTGTAGCCGATAAAACATTTGAGTTGCACATGAAGCATAATGTTTGTCTTTAGTGTACAAAGAACTGCTTTTCTTATTTTAGCCTTTCATATATCAAAAACAATCCGTATATTCTAGAGATGGGTGAAATGATATTTAGTTGCCATTTTTATACTTTTCAAAATATTTACTTTTTATTTACTTTAAAAAAAATACAAAGACGTCTCTTCAATTCCTTTAAAGCGTTGTTCTCTTAGTGTACGTTGCCCTGCTGCGTTTAATTTTTAGCTATTGTTTAACTACTTGTGACTTTTGGTTGACCTTTTTCTATTTTTAGCTACTGTTCTGCTACTTTGTTTTAACTTATGTTTGCTACTTTTAGCTTTTTAGATACCACTGTGCCACTTTTATAAAGCTGTTTCCTACTTTTAACTTTTTTAAATCTTTTTTCCACATTTAGCTAGCCTTGAGACTTTTAGCTAGCCTTTTGTTAGTTTTAGCTTTTAGCTAGACTTTAGCTACTTTTAATTTCTAACTTGAATTTTGATGCTTTTAGCTACCATTTTGCTACTTTTAGCTTTTAGTCAACCCCTTTGCTGCTTTTAGCTCATAGCCACCATTTTGCTATTGTTAGCTTTCAGTTATCCTTTTGCTACTTTCAGCTTTGATGTTATATTAAACTACACTTTTGCTACTTATTGCTAGCATGCTACTTTTAGTTTTCAGCTAGTATTTAGTTCCTTGCTCTTTTAGGTCATGTTGTACTCCATTTAGCTAGTGTTCTGCTGTTTAAGTTTGAACTTATTTTCAGTTTCTTCAGTAAATTTCAGCAGTCGTTCAGCTCTCAGTACAGCATTTTAGTACAAAGTTGGATTTCTCTAGGTTTACCTTTAGTTTAGTACTTTGGCCACCGTTGAATCAGTGATGGCGTATGAACAACCCATCATTACCAGCTGGCAGTAGTTTCTAAAACTCCTGCTGTGGTCGTCAGAACGCGGGGTGTTGGCTGACTAATATAAGTCTACTCTGTGGGATCCTGCAGCCCCAGCTCCGCAGCTAATTATGGCTTCTCTGTTCTGATTAGAATAAACACATGGCAGCTGCAGTGGAGCTACTGATTGCACCGAAGATGTCCTTCGTCTCCTTTACGTTTGTATTTTGACCAATATTCAGTCTTTTATTTTTTTGAGCTCTGGTTTGCTCATTAAAAAACTCTGACATAAACATTTACCACAGCGCTGAATGCTCCACTGTGCTCAGCATCTGTAGGCTATTTGCAAGTGATCAAGCAAAATGCAGCTGCCTGAACACCACAATGTTTGTATACGTTTTTAGAACCTACACTTTTTAAATTATAAGGGTGATCTTAATGAGTCCGTTTGAATCGTGAACCGTTGTAGATTTTAGATGAGTTTAAAAGTTGCTTTTGTTGCTTTTTTTTTTTTTTTTTGGAGGGAGCAGTTTTTTTTTCATGGCCTGTTGCAATGGCAGAACCAAGGGGTGGCCAGTGGTGGCCTTAGCCACCATAGGTCAGTCTTCAGCCACCCCAAGTGCCACCCCAAATGCCACCCCAATCATTTGAGGAAATTGTAATTTTAAGCAGTATAAAAACTAGAAAGCATAGTTTCCTCATATGATTGTGGTGGCCATCTTGGATTTTGATGTGGCAACCCAATTTTTGAAAGTGACCTTTTTTACGCCTCACACTAAAATGAAAATTGTTACCTAACTTACTTTTCAGGTTATCATGCTAACACGGACGGATGGAGGGTATTTACACTTTCCACTCTTTGATGTGCGACAGGAGACAAAAAAGGCTCAGTATTGACTACATTAAAAATAAAAATAAAATTTTTCTTTTCACTCTAAAAAGTGGAAATTATTTTGTTAAGAACAACCAAGCTCAAGATCAACGTTACCTCTCTAAGAATATTAAGATGCAATGTTAATAATTTGGAGCTGAACTTTCTCGTGTTTATGCTCTGCAACAGATAAACATGGACGTCTACAGCAATTCTATTATTCTGAAGCTGCTCAAGTGGTTAACAGGCTCTTTTTATTCCTCCTGCATTAGTGTGCTTCACTGTGAGTGGATAAAAAGTGCATACTTCCTTTTCCTCGGGCAGTCTGGCCTCGTCCCACTAACAGAGGTGGGGGGCATGGAGGGAGATGTAAGGGCACAAAGAGGAGGAGGAGATTTGAGATACTAAAATGCAGATGTAAAACCTTCCTGTATTCAAGTCTGCCATCCTGGTACCTTTGTGAAACTTGACCTAGATTGAAGAAAGGCCAAACTGGAAGAGCCTGGAGCTCCTCATTCACTTCCTAGAGAACAGATTGTTCTCTTTCATTAGCCTATTCAAGATGGCTGGGGACAAAAAAAGACTGCACTGTGGCAGGGTTCAGTCACAAGGGACGGTGCATCAGTGTCTCATGGAAGAGCTCATGTTTTTTTTTATTTTACTTCAATAATTTGTTCATCAATGAGAAATAATCTTTAAAACTTATTTGTATTTTCCAAATTTCATTGAATCAATACAACTATTTTCAGATGTGTCTTCAAACATGTTTTAAAAAGCAAAAAAAAATTAAAAAATAAAACCCTTCAGATCCAACACTAAGAGAGCGTTTAAGAAGAAAAAAATCAGTGAAGATAATCCAGTAATTTGAGCTGCCAGTTGCTGAGATTTGGCACCAGTTTTACAGTAGACCCTATGAAGGGATTGGAGAGGAATGTTTTTGTCTCTATTAAGTGATTACCAAGTCTACGAGGAATGGAGAGTTTATGGGAACAGAAAGCACCACTCACAATGATATGAAAATTTACCAGTGAGAACAAACATCTGTAGCAATTCACCAGTTTTTCATGCTGAACATTTCATGCTAAGTGTTTTCCCTCGAGTGATATGGTCAAATTCTAACTAACACTATCCCACCATTAAACGTCTGTTTACGCAGAGATGCTACTTTCTAAACAAAACATGGGGCCTAAACTATACTCCCAGTTTCCAACACATCTCTGTGTGTGTGTGTTTGCACAAGGTTTAGTTTCCTTTTCTGGACACTTTCTTAATTGGATAATCACCTATCTATTTGTCAGGCCCAATAGTCCTTACGGGGACCAAACCCCAGTCTTAATAAAAGGACATTTTGGGATTAGAGATTAGGTTTTAGGCGAAGATATTAGTTGCATTTACGTTAGAGTTAACACACCTTTGCAGCATCACATTTATGATAAATTCTATGTGACTACACATTAGAAATGAAGAAAAGCAGATTCAGACACTTTTTAATTAAGTAATCCTTTACCATTGCCAAGGTTGGATCTGGTACTCCAGTTTCCTCCCACAGACCAAAAACATGCATGTTAGGCTG